TGTGACTATCTCATTGTCACAGGTCGGCTAGAACTATGAGGTGAGTGCAAATCACTCATCTCATAGTTCTCCTTTAAGGTTCATGGGAGTGTAGTCAACCTCCCTGGATGTGGTCACAAGAGCAGAATTGACAGATGGTTAGTATGGTGCACGAAGAGCCAAGGAAAACTTCCAAGTTGAAAGCCAGGGTCAAGGTACATCCGTGTCTGATTGCATCATCTGTCGCTTTTTGAGCTACAGTGGGCTCAAAGGAAGAAGACGCAGGATGAAAGAAAAGCATAAAAAAGCTAGACTGGAATTGACTGAAATGCATATTGACAAGGCACAATGCTTCTGCTACAATGCCTGGAGTGTTTTGCCAAGGCATATCAGCCCCAAGTTCTACAGACAAAAACAATGAAGGGAATGCTAGCTGCATGTGGCACCTTAAAGTAGACCTTAACGCTCAAAAAACAAATTCTACCAATGCATCCCTCTATGTATGATGATTAATAATAACATAGACATGTCAGGTGTAAAATGCTGCGATATTGAAATACTTACACTTGCAGAGCATTCACTTTCCGATTTGAAAGGGCAAATGACTTCAGGTTTGCCAAATCAATGCACACTGGGATTGCCTTGTCATCAGCAGATCATTGCTGGGAGATCTCAGGGAAAGGTACCTTGTAATAGGAGAGCTAGTAATCTGCCCTTAGCAAACATGACCACTGTCAAGAGACTGGGAAAGAAAAGAGAAATAATATGCAAACACTACAAAGCTGGCAAGTGTCTAGAAGTATGTGTTTGTAGATTGTCATCACTAAACATTTCTAAAGGTGCCTTTGTTGTTATTTTAAAGATATGGGTAAAGGTCTGCATTAAGGCTCCTTTCACACCTATATGTTTAGGCACGATTAGGGATCCCTGCATCAGGAAGCGTTTTCACGATCGATGCGTTCAGAAAGAGTGATTGATTCCTAACCGCATGTAATCATATCACATACGATCACATGCAGTGCCAGCGTGTAAATGCAGCTGCTGTCTTACGATCATTAACTTGAATGGGTGACACAGTAAGGAGCACAGGCTATCTGGTAGTGGCAACAGTAACCCATGCATGAAACAAGGACACCCAGGAACAGTCCAAGTAGGTTTGTCCTGCACATTCATTCAGCAAGACAACAAACACAGTTCAATATAGGAAGGCTTTGCAGAGTACGCCGCATAAAAAACAAAACATCTGCTTAGCCAGACAACTAACTAAAATCATCTCAGCTCCTGACTAACAGGGTGTCCCCTATTGGGTTCCTCAAGACAGCCTTTCAGTGTTCTGTGAGCAGTCAGCCTTTTCACCCAGCAGAATAAAGGGCTATAGGCACGGCCCTGAGCATCAGTCAGCTCCCATATATAAAGACCTGTGCAAAGCTGAGACTAACAAGGAGATGTGGATACCAGGTAAGATGTGGACCATGAAATGGAGGTTTCATCCAGCCCAACACTCTACAAAGGCTCCGGGACCTAGTCCAGATATTATTAAGTCTTTCTCCATAAAATTAAAGTTATTATCATATCAACTGATGCTGCTAAATTTGCCTTAGGCATTAATGACCTCTGGCCACGAAAGGGTTGAGGCCAATGACTGAAACATGTGCTTGGTCTGGAGTTTCCCTGGAAAAAAATGTATGAGTGATTGCCTCTGAAAATAAGAATATAAACATATACGGCCAATACATCTGCCAGCGGCAGGGTGGAAAATAGAGGCCCAGCTTTTTGCTGAGCTGCAGAGAGGGGTGGCAACATTCTGACACACAGATGTGTTAAAATAACACTCTTTACTGTATCAGTCACTGAAGTGGATACAAGGGAGTTGAGAGGGGCAGACTGATAAACTGCAGAACTCTTGTAACATATGCATTTAAAGCACATATAGTACACTATATGCAATAAAAGCAGGAGGTGCAGTTTGATCTGTAACCAGCTTCCAAAGACTAATCACGCTGACAATGAATCAAAAATGTAGCCTGACCATTATTTAATAAATCTAAGCAAATGGCAACTAAGGCATTTAGTATCCATCTGAAAAGCAGAAGACGGCTAGGTTGGGAAGGATTGCTATGGGATACCTCAGGGAGCTCTTTGGGCCTTTTAAAAATATGTTTAAAAGAGAACTATGGGTGTAAGTGTTTTTCCCCATAGTTCTCTTAAGGGTCACGGGAGGACATATACTAACCTCCTCCCATGACCCAAAGCTCAGTATATCGCGAGCTACTGCCCGCTATATACTGAGACCGCGACAGCCGGGATGGATCCTGACATTACTGTCGAGATCCACACAGCTGTGCAAGTGATAGCTGGCTCTGCCTATGTGGAGGCAGAGCCAGCAGAGCCCTTCCCGTCTCAGTGCTGGAGGATCAGAGCGGTGAGGGGGAGCGGGGAATTCCTGCAGGGAGCCGAGACTGCAGGGACATGATCAAGAAGTGAGCGAGCGACGGTACGCGTTTGCTCACTTCCCGATCTATTGAGCCGACGTGTGACAGTTTCATTGTCACACATCGGCTTGAACTATGAGGATGAGTGATTTTCACTCACCTCATAGCTCTCCTTTAAACTAGGAATATGGTTTTGGAGGGGGGAGATCTGAACGTCCCTAAATTTAAAATAATGAACAGCTGGCTAACCACAGTCAGATTCTAATTATTTATATCTGCACATACTGTAGAATGGCGACCTACCAAAAAAAAAAAAATCTATGCAAGTGATATTTAATTATATATACCGTAGTTACCCAACCTCTGCAAAGCAATATAACCTTTTGTTGATCTGACAGATCGGATTCCAACCAGGGGTGATTTTGTTTTTACCAGTAACCAGCTTAACAATGGTCTTGTAAAATACAGTGTACAAATACAGCGGGAAACGCACAGTAGAAAATGACAAGTCACTGACCCATTATGTATCATAAGACATTTCTTTGCTGTGACTAGTAAAGGCACCAGGGAAATGTGCAAGGTAGCCTCAGATGGCTGTAACATTATACAGGGGGCTGGCCATCTTGTGGTTGACCCTTAGGTAGACAGCAGATTCCAAAGGCCACCACTAGGACAGACAAAACTTCTCCATACTATCCTCCATCCTTCCTAGGATACAAACTTTTGGGGGAACTACAGTGTATTACAGGTTTCCCTTGCCCAAGCACAATTACAAGTAAAGAACTTCTTTGAGCTCAACAGATAATCAGCTTCCTGGGCCTCAAAAGAGTTGGCTGAACAACGTCTCTGTACATTCCACCTGCAAGCATGCTTCTGGAAAATAACTTTCTGGTTAACAAAGGTTGAGGAAAAACTGCAGTACAAACATTGTACGATACACCAGGACCGTACAACCCACAGGAGCCAGGCAGCCAAAGTTGTTAATCTTGTTTACTGTTGTCAATGGAGACGAGAGGACTCCTGATCTTTGGTACTTGGCCCATTTCTGGGTTACCAGCTCAGAGAACACAAAGATGCCTCACTTCTGCTTCAGAGCATGAGCTGCATTCAGACTAGAACTGTAAATAAATAGCATAGAATGCTGGAGATTTCTAGGAAACATGTGACTCATTCACTGGCTGTCCCATTTAGGAAACCTCTTGTGGGTGAGATTACTGGGGGAATTGTCAGCAGTAGTAAAGCCCGGATCACTGAATGATGCTGATCATCCTGCTTGTCACAGTCCACTCCTATCTCAACCATGCTGATCATCATTACCTGTACATACACTATAGTATACACTGGACATGGCACTATACCAATGATCGCCGGACACTGAGCCATACTGACCCACTATACCAGTGATCTCCGGACACTGACCCACTATACCAGTGATCTCCGGACACTGACCCACTATACCAGTGATCTCCGGACACTGACCCACTATACCAGTGATCTCCGGACACTGACCCACTATACCAGTGATCTCCGGACACTGACCCACTATACCAGTGATCTCCGGACACTGACCCACTATACCAGTGATCTCCGGACACTGACCCACTATACCAGTGATCTCCGGACACTGACCCACTATACCAGTGATCTCCGGACACTGACCCACTATACCAGTGATCTCCGGACACTGACCCACTATACCAGTGATCTCCGGACACTGACCCACTATACCAGTGATCTCCGGACACTGACCCACTATACCAGTGATCTCCGGACACTGACCCACTATACCAGTGATCTCCGGACACTGAGCCACTATACCAGTGATCTCCGGACACTGAGCCACTATACCAGTGATCTCCGGACACTGAGCCACTATACCAGTGATCTCCGGACACTGAGCCACTATACCAGTGATGTCCGGACATTGAGCCACTATACCAGTGATCGCCAGACACTGAGCCACTATACCAGTGATCGCCGGATACTGAGCCACTGTACTAGTGATCTCCGGACACTGAGCCACTATACCAGTGATCGCCGGACACTGAGTCACTATACCAGTGATCGCCGGACACTGAGTCACTATACAAGTGATCGCCGGACACTGAGTCACTGTACCAGTGATCGCTATCGCCGGATACTGAGCCACTGTACTAGTGATCTCCGGACACTGAGCCACTATACCAGTGATCGCCGGACACTGAGTCACTATACCAGTGATCGCCGGACACTGAGTCACTATACAAGTGATCGCCGGACACTGAGTCACTGTACCAGTGATCGCCGGACACTGAGTCACTGTACCAGTGATCGCCGGACACTGAGCCACTGTACTAGTGATCGCCAGTGACTGAGTCACTATACCAGTGATCACTGGTGACATAGGCATTAGGGACCACTGTTGACTGTGCCAGTATTCCACTAATCACTTGCCTTAGTAATAGTCCTTAAAACTGCAGTACAAGGCAGTGCTCTGCAAGTAGTATACAGTCACATGACAGAGCTGCATTAGTCCCCCGAGCTGGCAATGACTAGGCTATGGGTAGCACGGCTTACAGACAGTTATCGGTCAGGTGTGGACGAACATACCCTTACACCATCAGGACTCGCTGACAGCTGTGTGTTGTGCTCGCTGTGGCCTCCTCTTTCCCCAGGCAGAACCTCCCTCACCTCGCAGCGCTCCTGTCAGTCGGTCTGGTTCTCCTGAGACCTGAGGGGGGCGACCGTCCTCCGGACACCGGAAATCCATTAACAACCACAACTTCCGCCGCTCGCTACGGCTCTGACTGGGAACTCTGTGGTGCTCACGTGATGCAGCAAGTGCCTTTACGGTGACATGGTCACATGGCCACATTCCGCTGGCCTCTCATATGACCGCGCATACAATTCATAGAGGAGTTGCTGTACGCATTTGTTTTATTAAAGGTACAGTTACAGCTGTTATGAGTCTTTAACCAAAAACAACTAAGAAGTCACTGATGTGCGAACTGTCCTATGTGCTGTAAAGGATGATTTTACATTGGTAATAGTATTGTTTATTTACCTTCTCCCTTAAAATCTATTCGCACTATAAGGTGTGCGTTAACGTGCGGTACTGCAACGCAATACGAAGTCAATTACAGTAGTAACTTTGCGGCTCCCTGAGGGCTGCAGAGTGTGAATCTGGAAGAAGCGTGGGCAGGCGAGTATAACTTTTTTTTTTTTTGTGGGGGGGAATTAAATAATGGATAAGTAAGGTCATAGTTTAAGTAGAATAAGGGAGGGCCATATCCCCATTAGATTTTTTTTTTTGTAATAAATTCTTTATTTTATCAAATTTCAAAGGTTTACACAACGCGTAGGCAAATAATATAGAAAGATATTCAAATTGCATTCTTTGCATGTAAATGCTAACAAAGTAAATTCAGTATTTTGCAAAACTCATTATTGCAGGCTTCGCAGGGTTACTAAAAAAAGAAAAATGAGATTAGATTTTTTTGCCATTTGTGTCCCATTGGGGAGATTTCCCTTTACGTCCTGTTGAATAGCCAGGACAGGAAATGAGATGGTGGTCAGCCGGTTCACCAAAACTAGTGTCTCCATTGGACGATTTCCCATCTTTTTCCGTTCTGGTGACAACTCCAAAATTTGTAATTTTGTATCACGTTTTCTGATAATGTTTAGCAGGACAAATGGAGAGGATGATGCTCCTTAACAGGGACACAGATAGCAAAAAAAAAAAAAACCTGACAGGTGTCCAATCCCTCTCCTCTCTATACAAAACTAAAAACATTTTGGCTTCAGTTGCACTTTTAAAGAGAACAATGGCCCCACCGGTTTTCCCATAGTTCTCTTTAGGGACCCAAAGCTCAGTATATAGTGGGCTATTGCACTTTGTATGCTGACAGTGCAGAGCCGTGCTGCGTCCAGGAAAGATCCTGACAATATTGTTGGGATCCACCCCGCTGCCTGATTGACAGCTGGAGCTCTCTGGAGCTGTGCCCGCCCCCTCTCCTGTCTGTCCCTCCAGTCAGCGCTGGAGGATCGGGGAGGGGGGAAGAAAATCCCTGCGGTAGGTGGTGACTAACAGTCACCACTCTCTGCAGGGAGATGATCGGGAACTGAGCAATCAGTAGTATGTGATCGTTCAGTTCTCAATCAATAGATAGCTGCAGTGTCACATTGGCTCTAATTTTGGGGATAAGTGTATTTCACTCTCCTCATAATTCTCCTTTTAATAGGAAGTAAATACTCCTACTGGTATTGATCCCCATATCCACATATTAACCAGTCTTCAGCCTCCTCACTTTAGCAGCTCCTATTTTGGTCTGCAACAAATTGCCTGCTGCTATTGACAAGGACATTTTTCTCCACAGCAGTTCACATTGTACTACAAGAAAATGCCCACCAGCTGCCATAGGCACACATCAAGGTAATTATGGTGGTAGGTAGTAGCCATACAGCCCGAAACCACACAGAGATTCTCTATAGTGACACCTAAACTGACCACATAACCCCTCTGAAGATTCAGAAAAATAGGTCGGCATAGAAAATTCATGCTTACTAAGGATGCCCCGATTCCGTTTTTTCGGAATACCGATATTTATACTTTAGTACTCGCCGATGGTGAGTACCGGTACTTCCGTTAGCATAGAGCCAGCTTCCCGGGCAATCAGGGAGCCAGGCGGTATGTCATTACTCAACGCCTGGCTTCTTGATTGCCCGGGAAGCCGACTCAATTCTGTTTGGCCGGCTCGATGCTGATTGGCCGGGAAGCCGGCTTCCCAGCCAATCGACATCAAAGCCGGCCAAACAGATCTGATAATATGGTGACACAACCTCCACCATGCAGACACCTCAGTCCCTTCACATCGATCCTCAGCAGCATTCATTACCATACTACAGATGTCCCTCGGCCAGCTGGGCAGACACTGCTCTTGCAGATCTGCACACGTGATCGTCCCTCAGCCTGCTACTGCGCATGCGCACACTGCCCAGTGCTCTCATTCAGACATTCTCTAACAGCATCAAGCATGCGGTGCTGGCGCTGTTCACACAGGAGACGTGGGCAGATCCTGGAGAGCGGTGTCTGCCCAGCTGGCCAAGGGACTGGTACAGTAATGACTGCTGCTGAGGATCTATGTGAGAGGAATGATTTGTCTGCAATGTAGGGGTTGTGTCACCATGTTATCAGATTTGTTTGCCTGGCTCATTGCTGATTGGCTGGGAAGCCGGCTTCCCGGCCAATCAGCATTGAGCCAGCCAAACAGCATGGAGCTTCCTGGCTCCATGTTCCCTCATGGCACTGCCGGTCAGGAAATCTCCCTCTGACTGGAAGTTCCCGTATCGGGAAAGGTATCGGAGCATTTGGGCGAGTACGATTACTTGCCCAAATACTCGGTATCGGCACATCCCTAATGCTTACAGGCCACAATGGTTTATTATTGGTATTTATATAATGCCTACAATTTACGCAGAGCTTTACATAGTTGCACATTCACATCAGTCCCTGCCCTCAAGGAGCTATGGTCCCTATCTCACATGCATACATACATACAGGGACAATTTAGAAACAAGCCAATCAACCTAGCATGTCTTTGGAGTGTGGGAGGAAATCTACTCAAGCACAGAGAGAGCATGCAAACTCCTTGCAGACAGTTATCTGGCCAGGATTTTGAACCAGAGACCCCTAGTGCTGCAAGGCAGAAGCACTAGCCACTGTGCTGCCATGGCTAAGCAAGTCCGGTTAAACGTGACTGAACATTGGGTGGGAAAAAACTGAAGCAAACAGAATCTGGAGCAGTTGCCCATAGTAACCAATCAGCTTCTCTTTTCAGTTTGTTCAGTTAAGCTTTGAAAATGTGTCCGGACTGTGTTTTGTAGGGTCATGCATTCAGGGTGTTACAGTTGCTGACAGTGAATGCCCCCTGACAGCCTTCTTCCATGATTTCTCTGCAATTCCCAGTTTAAAATTGCTGGCAATAGTGAATTAGGCTGCTGCAGCTGCCATGAAAACTGCCATACCCCTATTAGTCTTTCAACTCAGAAATTTGAAGCACAACTGCACTAATATATAGTATTTTGGGGCAATTAAAGCATGCTTAAAAACAAAAATGTAATATATTGCAGCAAACCTGTTCCTAGATGTTGTGGCTGCATTGTTTTCTTTTTTGCAAGCTTTTCTCCTTTATTTTTACCTGGTGATCCTGCCAGTAACATACTTCCAGTTCTAGGGTGGCAACACTCACTCACCCTATTGTATCAGGACTACTCAAACATGCCAGTAGTACAAAAACTTTCCACTCTTTTCCATAATATACAGCCCCAAGTTCAAAAACATAAGTACGCTGTGTAAAATCTACATAAAAACAGAATGCAAAGAAAGCTGGCAAAGTAAGTGGTACTAAAAAGGAAGAGCTGGAGGAACATTCTGCAACTAATTAGGTTAATAAGCAACAAGTCAGTAACATGATTCGGTATAAAAAGAGCATCTAAAGCTGGCCATACACCTTACAACCATCGCACGACTTTCGTTGTGCGATGGTTGTAAGGTGATAAAAATTCCGTACAAACTGCCCATCATGGACAGGCAGATCGTACTTGCGATCATCGCAAGCCCACCCCCCTGAGGGGAGGGCTTGCTGATGATTGCAATGCTGAGCGGGCATTGTGCGCTTACGCCTTGCGATCGCGCTACCAACCCACCGAAAATTGTACCATTTTTGGCAGGTTTTCTAACGTTCTCGTAAGACGAAAGTCGTGTGTACAGTAAATGCGGTCGCACGCTGCCCATACACCTGCCGATTATCGTACGATCGCGGGATCACCCGCGATTATCGTACGATAATCATCAGGTGTATGGGCACCTTAAGAGAGTCAGAGTGCTTAAGAAGTAAAGATGGGCAGAGGTTCACCAATCTGTTATAGGCTGTGTCTAAAAATTTCAGAATCATTTTCCTCAACATAAAATTGCAAATACTTGAAATATATCATCATCTACAGTACATAATATCATCAAGAGAATCTGGAGAAATCTCTGTGCGTAATGGGTAAGGCCGAAACGGAATATTGGATCCCCCGTGATCTTTGGGCCCTCGGACGGCACTGCATTAAAAACAGGCATGATTCTGTCATGGATATCACTGCATGGTATATCTGTAAAAAAATAAATCAAGGCAACTGGACTTTCTGTATTTTTTATGGAGACGTTTCGCTGGTCATCCCACTAACTTTCTCAATGACTTGTACAAAAAATTATCTGGGAATAAATATGGTAAATGTTGCACCTATCCACATACTCTGTCTATCATAACCAGCATGGGGTCAGAGCACTTACGAAGGTATGATGTTGATTGCATTTGCATGATTGGAGCTAGCAGGTGTTATTAACCCGCCCAGAGAGAGGTGTTAAAAACCAATGCTCCTCCCTCCCTAGGATGCATACTTGACTGTCTTCAAAGGAGTGACCTTTTTTCCTTTTAGATGTAGGTATACTGCTGAATCCTGACCAGAGAGTTTGGCTCTTCTATGCTGTGCCATACGCTGGTGTAGCTGTTGTTTTGTTTCACCGACATACAATTCTGACCACTACTCAATGCACTGGACTGCATACACAATGCTGTTCATCTTGTGTTTTGGTGTTGGGTCTTTTGGGTGAACCAGTTGTTGTCTCAGTGTGTTGCTGGATGTAAAGCAGACAGGGGTGTGATGTTTATTAAACACCTCTTCTTTCTGTTTTGACAAAGGCCCAGTCTGGATACCCGCACGTTTTAAGGTCCCTTCTGAGGTGTTTGAATTCCTTCCCCTTGTGCTGGTGGGGATGTTCTCTGTCCCTTGATGTAGAGTCCTGATGACTCCCAGCTTGTGATCCAGAGGATGGTGGGAGTAAAATGGCAGGTACTGGTCTGTGTGTTTTCCCACCAGCACAGAGGCCAAAGAATAGCCAG